CCTTCCTGTCTTCAGAGCTTTATCCCAGTGCAGTGCTGCCATCTTGATCTTGTATGATTGTTTGTTCTAAGGAGTGTGTACCTCCCTGGTGTTACTGTTCATCTTATAAGCCTATCTAATGTTTGGCTGAAAGTTGAGTCATAGAGATGAGTTCAGTTCCAGGCTTGAAGGGTGGCCATAGTCTTGGAGGTTCCACGAGGCTATATCAGACCAGTAATCTGGGTCATTTTTATTATTTTGAGTTTCATTCCTCATTTTTGTCCAACTCTAACCAGGAGTGATATTGTGATCCCTTTCAGAATGCCCGGCAGTGGTAACCAGCACCATCTAGTTCTTCTGGTATTGGGGTTGTGGAAGTTGGGGTTCATGTGGTCCATTAGTCCTTTGGTCTAACTGTTTCCATGTATCTTTCATTTTCCTTATTCTTCTTTGCTGCAGAAGGGAAGAGACCAATAGTTGCACCTTAGACTGTCCCATAAAGACTGCTGTTGTTGTTAGGTGCCATCCAGTCAGTTCCAAATCATAGCAACCCTATGAACAACAGAACAAAGCACGGCCCGTGCTGTGCCATCCTCACAGTCATTGCTATGTTTGAGCCCATTCTTGCAACCACTGTGTCGGTCCATCTAGTTGAGCGTCGTCTTCTTCTTCCCTGACCATCTGCTTCACCAAGCATGATGTCCTCCAGGAACAGGTCCCTCCTGATAACATGGTCAGAGGCAGCACTGGGGGCCTCACTACCTCCAAGAAGCAGAAATGAGAATGGAGCATGTCCTTTGGACCTGGAGCCCTGTGCTGAGAACCTCTTAGACCCAAGAGAGAGAAAGCTGTAATAGCAGAGGCAGCAAAAGATGGCAAGAAGTAGTGGCACGGAAATAGTGACAGGAGAACCAGGAAACCAGCACAAGACAGGGCAGTGGGCTTTCTGGCCCATGAAGCAAGGTGGTTATAGTGGGTATGCCAATCCATAGAGGGAACGAGCTGAGCACCTTCAGGCAGGAGGCTTCTTGGCAGAGTGGGTACCTCTAGACACTTGCAGTGGAGCTGGGCTTACCAACCCATGGAACGAAGGACCCGAGTACCTTCAGGCCAAGGTTTAGTGGTGGAGTAGGGTGCCTCTGAGCACACACTGGTGGAGCTAAAGGGCTTTGGAACACTTGCCCAAGCAGGGTAGAGGCTGGGCCAAGGGGCTGAGGGCCAGAGAGAGGCCTGCCTGAGGCCATAGCTGAGAAGAGGCTGTCCTGATCAAAGAACTGTATCTTGAGTTACTGAAATATCATAATCTCTAATGTGATATTGTGAGAGATATTTTTCACAAATTAAAGAAGCGTTTGAAGAGCAAACACTGATTCTCCTCCTTTACTTAAATATTACCCAGGCGATTATGTTTATTAGAAAAAGTACCAACCAAAAGATTCTTAAAAATCCAAATCCTGCTGGAAGGGCCTTATCTAGTTCTCTTAACTAAGCCTTGTGCAGCGAAACTAGAAAGAACCCTTGCATTAATTTAGCACAGCAAAAGAAAGCTAAAGCACCTATTGGCAAAGCTTCAAGAGCTTTGTAACACTTACCTGAGGCTGAGTGGAGGCCAGGCTGAGGGGCCAAGGGCCAAAGCAAGGCATGCCTATGGGCATGGCTAAGGGGAGGTTGTCCTGATCAAAAAATTGTATCCTGAGCATTCTTGAACCTGAATTGTAACATGTTACTTCCCTAGTAAACCCTATAATCAGAGTATTATCTGTGAGTTTTGTGTGGCTACTGCAACAAATTATCGAACCCAGCAGAGAAGTAGAGAATGCCCTGGGAAGGATGGTAGGTGTCAGAATTGGCAAGAAGGTTGGAGGGTGGTCTGATCTTGCTTCATAAGAATCAGCCGTGGGCTTCTGGACTTTGATCCTTCTTCCCCCTTGTAAAGTTCTCTAACTTCTGACTGCTAAAGGAGGTCGGAACACGCAGCCCCTTTTTGCAAAACCCCAAAGCAGCAAGGGTCAAGATTTTAGCTTGTGCCATTTAAGATATAACTATTGATCTCTTCCCATCAGAGCAAAGAAGAGTGAAGAAAATCAGCCTAAAGGAAACAATTAGTCCAGAGGACTAATAGACCAAATGGACCATATCCTCCATTAGCCTGAGACTAGAACTAGATGGTACCTGACTACCACTAAACACCACTTGGAACAGGATCAAAATAGGTCCTTGACAGAGTGGGAGAAAAATGTAGTGCAAAATTCAAAATCACAAAAAAGACCAGACTTACTGGTCTGATAGTGACTGGTGGAACCCTACGAGACTGTGGCCCTTAGGCACCCTTTAAACCTGGAACTGAACCCACTCCCAGAGAGCTCCTTTCAGCCAAACAATAGGCCTACAAAGTGAATAGTAACACCCAGAGGAATGTGCTGTTCATAACAGTCAACCATAAGGGACCAAAAGGGCAGCATTGGTTCCAAAACAAGTTCAGAAGGCAGGGAGAGGCAGGTAGGATGAGCTAATAAAAACGAGGAATCTAGGGAGTGAGTGTAAGTGGGAAGAGTGCTATTCCATAGAGGATTGCAGCCAATGTTACCAAACAAAATGTGTATAAATTGTTGAATGGGAAACTGATTTGCTCTGTAAACTTTCACCCAAATCACAATGTTGTTATGTTGTTGTTATGTGCCGTCGGGTCGGCCCCGACTCATAGCGACCCCTCCTTGGGTTTCCGAGGCAGTATCACTACAGAAGTAGGATTGCCCAACCTTCCTTCCGAGGAGTGGCTGGTGGGTTTGAACCGCCAGCCGTCTGGTTAGCAGGCAAGTGTCTTAGCCACTATGCTACCAGAGCTCCCAATAAAATGTTCAAAAAAGAAAAGAAAAACAGCGTGGTCAAGTGCCATGATTTGTGTATTAAAAAAAGGAAAAAAAGATTTTGGCTTGTGTGAGGAATTGTTTTTTAAAAGATGCAAGCTAATCCAAGAAAATCCTCAAGGAGATGGATTGATACAGTGGCTGCCATGATGAACTCAAACAGCATTGTGAGGATCGCACAGGACCGGGCAGTAGTTAGTTCCACTGTACACGGTGTCGCTGTGAATTGGAACAGACGCAAGGGCAACAACAATCCAAGAAGAATGCCTTGGTCAACATGGTCCAAGAGGTTAACCAAAACCCACTGCGCTCAGTGGATTCTTACTCATAGTGCCCCTTTTTAGGGCAGGGTAGAACTGCCCCATAGGGTTTTCAAGCCTGTAAATCTTTTCCAGAAGCCTCATATTTCTCCTGCAGAGCTGCTGGTGCGTTCAAACTGCGGACCTTTTGGTTAGCAGCCAAATACGTTAACCACTATGCCACCAAACTACCTGTCCAAGAGGTTAGAAGATAGAAATGATAAGGTTAAGCTGAATTGTAGTTTAATAATCCCCTTGTAACTTTGTCATTGCACCCTACTCCTCCCATCCCCCCACGGTGTCTATGAACACGTAGCCCTTTGTTTACTCGGTGGCATGAAAACCTGACTCTCGTTGCAATTGAGAGCACTGTACTACTCTGCCTGGGGGCTAGTGTGTCTCCTGATTCTCCAGTCTCTCTACCTTTCAGTAAAGTCTCGCTTTCACCTCTAACACAATGTGAAACTAGTGAGTCACTACAATAGAAACTACTTTCCTCATAATTTTCTGCAAATTTAAAATTGCTCTGTTGCTGTTATGTGCCCTCCATCGGCCCCGACTCATTGCGACCCCTCCTGGGGTTTCCGAGGCAGTATCACTGCGGAAGTAGATTGTCTAATCCTCCTTCCAAGTAGTGGCTGGTGGATTTGAACCGCCAGCCTTCTGGTTAGCAGTCAAGTGCCTCAGGCACTACGCTACCAGAGCTCCTAAAATTGCTCTAGAAAAGTGTATTAATTTAATAAGAATTCATGGATTTAAAAAAGTCTCTATTTCCAGTTTCCTCTCGCAGCACCATAGTACAAGCGTAGCTGTCCGCGTTGTGGCTCTATCAAAGGACACTGAGTCCAAGAACAGTACTGTTTAACGTGGCACAATCCAGTGTGACCTTATGTAAATACCTGCTGCTCAGTGTACAAGTTTCCACCCGCCTCGAGACACTAAAACGCGTGCAATTTTCTTCCTGAGTGTAGGACAAATGGGGTGATAACCCACTCCAACCCGAGACTCGGTATCTCCCAGAAGAAACCAACTATGAGGAGCATGAAAGTATGTCGGGACCTGTGGCTGGAAAAGGTTTAGGAATCGGAGGAGTAGGCACTAACTCCACCCAGGAGCTCTGGTGGTATAGTTGTTAGGGCCTTTAGCTGCTAACCAAATGTCCGCAGTTAGAAACCACTAGCTGCTTCGTGGAAGAAAGGGCTGTCAGCTTCCATAAAAATTTACATCCTTGAAAACCCAACGGTGGTCACCCTGGGAGCACAAACAGACTTGATGGGAGTCAGTGAGCTCCACCCAGTAGGCCACTTCCGCTCTGGTCACGTGTTAGCGCTGGTTCCGGTAGTGTGCCCTCTTTGCAGTCCGGCGCCGCCCACAACTGTGGACTTTTAGCCTGGCCCCGCGAGGTTCCCCGTGGCTCGTGAGCGCGCTTCCGCCCGCCTCGCGAACCGCTGCCTAGAGTGTGTGCACTAAGTGGTACATTCTCTCCCGAGTGCGTCTGTGATGTCTGGTAGAAAAGCGGCCTCAGTCCCTCTTCTAGAAAAGAAAGGAGTGTGGGGAAACCAGCTGGTATCGGTCTTACGCTTGGTCAGCAAGAGCTGCCTTTAAGCGCTGAAAGCTAGTGTTAGCTCTGGAAAGGATGTTCGTCCTGTCAGAGCCCTCATTTCATTAATGAGAAAAGCGAGGCGCGGGGATTGGAGAGAGCCCTGGTGTTTGGCCCGCACTTCCCACACCATGGCTGTTTGGTTTGTTTCCAGCACTAACAAGCGCCCCATTTCTAGCGGGGCTCAGTCCTGGGCTTTCTGAAAACCTTTGGTCTAACACTGTCCTCCTTCCGTCTCCGTCCAGCCCTCCAACTATGCCCGCGGGTGTGCCCTGGCCCACCTACATGAAAATGTTTGCAGCCAGCCTCCTGTCCATGTGCGCGGGGGCCGAAGTGGTGCACAGGTACTACCGGCCAGACCTGGTGAGTGCCGGAGAGGCCCTACGCCACTCCTTTCTCTCACAGTAGCATTTTAAATAGATCTTAAAATGAAATTCGCGTAACATCCCCCAAGGCTTAAAACCTTTTCGTGGCACCCCATTGCATTTAGGACGAGGTCTTCCATCGTCTGGCCGCTGCCTGCTACTGGCCTTACCATTTATTTATTTGTGTCCTCTGTCGCATCGGCACAGGCCTCATACTGTTTCTCAAATTCATCGAGCCCCAAATTGCCACCTCAGGGCCTTTGCTTTTGGTTCTTTTTAAATGTAAGTCCCTGCTGAAATGTCCCCTTCAGCACGGCTTTTCAGGACAGTGCCCAAAGTGCTATGCCCTGTCTCAGCCTTCTGACTGGAGAGCACTTGTCACCGTTTGCAATTACAGTAAAACCTGCTAAAGGTGGAACCTGTGTAGGGCGGTAACCTATCAGGGAAAGAAATAGCAATATTTTCCACTCGAATGAATGATAGAAAGATGGTAAGACTGCACCCTGTTAAAGGCAGAAAACCTGTGAGACCAGGAAAAACTAGTAGGCCCACGGAGCTCGGGTTCTCACAGGTTTCACTGTATTTTATTCCTTTGTTTACTGTTCTTTGTGGCTTCCACTGGAATATAAACTCGTTAGAGGACCTGTGTGTCTCTGGTTCACCCTTATAGCTCAGTCACCTAGCAAAGAGTTTGGAGTGCATAAGTGCTCAATAAATACTTGCTGAATAAAAAAAAAATGGTTGAATACAGGAGTTCTAAGGAGGGAGAAATTGTGGTTAATTTAATAAGCATTTATTGCATTAAGTACCGAGAATTAAAGTTGCCATATTGGAGTTCCTGGGGAGGAGGACAAGGTAAGTCCTTGCAAGTCATCCCAAGAGTGTGCTGTTGGACTAGAGCTGTGAATAGAGTAGTTTGGGAGCACAGTCAAGGGAAGCGGCTTACCTGCCTGAACAGAACATTTGCTGAGAACCAACCATTTGCACTTCTAGTTTCAGTTAATTGTCAGTACAGTTTTGGAAGTGTTTCTCCCTGTTTTCAGATGAAGGAACTGAGGATTAGAAGTGTCAAGGTGATATTCCAAGTCACATAACCTTTGAGTCACTGAATTTAGGAAGCACATGGTTTTTGTTTGATCTTCATCATTTTCTGTTCCTTTTAATAAAGTCAATGCCCTTGTGAAAAATTCATGTAGAATTGAAATACGTAGAGTGAAAAGTAAAATTCCCCCCATTTCCAATCTCCTTCCTCAAATCTGTTTCCCATAGGAAAGTACTGTTTATTGGTTGGTATATATTCTTTCACACTCATATACACAATTTGTGGATTTTTTTTTTTTTTTAATTGTGTACACTGTCTCATGACATTGACTGCAGTTTCCCACAATGCAAGAGCACCCCTCTCAGTTCTTCCCCATAGTTACCTCTTCCCTGTGTCCTTCCCTCCCATACACTCCTGCCCCCTGAGCTGTCTCCCTGTGCATACACAGCCCTTCTATTTCCCATGTTTGATCTCTCCAAGGAGCCTAACTACCTAATGTAAATCTTCAGCTCATAGGCCTGTCTTTTGTTGAACTGGAAGCTACAGGAGTGGGTTCAATTTCAGACCTGAAGGGCAACTAGGGACCATAGTCTCAGGGGTTCCACTAGGCTCTATCGGACCAGCAAACCTGGTCACTTTTTTTTTTTTTTTAATGATTTTGAATTTTGTTCCACATTGTTCTCCCACTCTATCCAGGATCTCCTACATAGATCCTCCTCTGAGTGGTTGACAGTGGTAGCTGGGCACCGTCTAGTTCTGGTCTCATAGTCATATAGGCTGAGGATCACATGGTGTACTAGTCCCTTGGACTAATTGTTTCCATGCGTCTCTGGTTTTCTTCATTCTTCTTTGCTCTGGATGAGGAGAATCCATTGTTGCATCTGGATGGGCGCTTGCAAGCTTTTAAGATCCCAGTTGCTGCTCACCAAAGTAGGATGTGGAACAATGTTTCTGTGTGGTACGTTATGCCTGTTGATCTTGATGTCCCATGCAACTATGGCCCTGAGCCCACAGGTCCAATTACTCACTCTAGGTAGCTGGCTGTGGCCAGGAAGTGACTACAACCTTGTCCCTTGTCAGCCCTACTATATACCTGTGAATTCTTATAGATCATACAAATACACTTGTAGAAACATTATCTGCAACCCTATACATGGTCATGGGCACACTCCAGTTTGTAGGGATTTTTAATTTAAATTTTTACTCTATTCTAAAATAGGAGTTAATATACCCATGTCATTGCAAATTGCTTATTTTGTTAATATCTATATGTAAGAACACTTGCCTGTATCAAGTCTTTTTAACCATTACGTAGTATTTCATAATATGAATATTCCATAAATTATTTAATTAATCCCCTGTTGATAGATGGTATCTAGTTTTGGTACAAACAGTGCTGCAGTAGTCCTTTCTTACTACTTTTAGACTGCTTCTCTTCTAAGTTTTCTAATGAAGCATCAAGAATACCTAGTAGAGACAAGTGGATAAGAAGCTTCTATGAAAACAGTATAGTCTTCAGCTTGTACAGGAATAGACAGGTGGGAGACTTTATAAGGGAATGCCTGGGATTTGAACCTGGAAGATTAACTTTTGATTCACCTAGCTCTGGTATCGTAGTGCCTAAGGCCTTTGACTGCTAACCAGAAGGCTGGCGGTTCAAACCCACCAGCCACTCCTCAGAAGGAAGATGGGGCAATCTACTTCCGTGGTGATACTGCCTCGGGAACCCAAGGAGGGGTCGCTATGAGTCGGGTCCGACTTGACGGCATATAACAACATGTCATTATAAGCACATGAGAATGTGTTAGGGTTGTAACCTGCAGCTCTGTACCTTTGGAGGAGGCAACATGAAGCTGGAATCTCTGAAAGGGGCATACTGTAGGGCCTGAGGAGGCCACATCACTTAGATTAGGTTCTGAAGTGACTTGAAGGCCAGGGGTGTCTGGTTGTGTGTGGGAAGTTGTACGGTCTACTAACATTTAAGCCTCTTTAGTTCTTTACTGTGTCTTTTGGTGGTGTACCAGCAGTCACTCTCACTATATAACAGCCTTGCCAGGAGTCCTTCAGTCTGGACAGCTGGAAGGTCTGGGTGGAGTCCAGAGCAGAGCAAACAATAGTGGTTGCTGCCGAGGGCCTGCACTCAGTGCAGTCTCAAGGGAGAAATGTTCAGGTGTCTTTTTCCTAATCGTGCAGCTCAGCTCCTCAGATTAGGATAGGAGACAAGGACTTGAGGCAGCTGCTTTGTCGTGGGTAGAGAACGTGCCTTCTGCTTGAGATTTCCTTTCGCACTTTCTCCAGGAGGATAAGAAAACCTGTCACTAGGTCTTATAATAAGAAGTGACTAAGGTTTTCTCTTACTGGTCAATCAATAGCTGTAGAATTAATTTTCGGTTTTACTTTTACTTGCTCTCTTTTGCTTAATTTTAACTCTTATTGCGGATTATTATTATTGAAGGTATAGTAGGTCAAAAGACATAGTCTTAGGACTCATATTAAAGCATTTCGTTTCTGATGGTTCCCAAACACATTCACACACACACATACCCTTCCATACATCTACACCCTTCCATGCACACAGTGCCTTATATAGAGAGGTTCTACTGTGCCATAATTGGTAAACTATTAATACCAATAAACTTGCTAGTCTTTTTTAAAATTTGGTTATATTTAGTATGTTGGGTTGGGCATTCTACTTCCGTAGTGATACCACCTCTGAAACCCAAGGAGGGGTCACTATGAGTCGGGTCCGACTCCATGGCAGTGAGGTTGATTGGTTGGTTAGTATGTTGGAGTTTCTGGGTGATACAAATGGTTAATCCTTCAACTACTAACCAAAAGCTTGACAATTTGAACCCACCCAGAGGCACCGCAGGAGCAGGTCTTGGTCATATGCTTCTGAAAGTTCACAGCCATTGTTTTGCGATGCACAGAGTCTCCATAAGGTGGAATTGGCTTGACAAGAACTGGCTTGGTGTTTTGGTTTTAATATTTAGTATGTAAACAAAAGTACTATCTTTATTTCAGTAAAAAGTCTAATTGTCATTTTAGTTTTATATTGTACTGGAAATTCTAGTCATGCCAAATGTGGGCCTATGTGTGTAGATGTCTATATAAGAGGGTAGTTCTGAATACTTTGTAGAATATTGAAACATGCTATTACATTTGTATAAGACTTGTGATTTCACAGTTTCTTTTTTTTTTAATTCTTCCTTTACTTGAAAATGAATGTTGTTGTTGTTGTTATGTGCTGTTGAGTCATCTCCAACTCATAGTGACCCCTCCTTGTAGTATTCTGTAGTATCTCTACAGAAGTAGATTGCTCTAGCCTCCTTCTGAGGAGTGGCTGGTCGGTTGGAACCGCCGGCCTTCTGGTTAGCAGTCAACCCTTCTAAATTTATTAAGTTGTGCACAGTTTAACAAACATGAAACAAGCATACTGTGCTTGTAGTAAAGGGTTTAGAATTTCAAAATCCTAGGGCTGGTTGTAGAAGAAATTGTTCAAAGAAGTTATTCTGGCTTTTATTCCAATTCCCATCACTGAATTTTTAAAAAGTCATTTTCACTTCAAATAAGAATGGTGCTGAGCAGTACATCTCTGACCTGCGTACCTCTACTTTTTCCCTACCTCAAAACCCTACACTTCTCCTAAATGAGTTTATTTCTTTAGGATCAATTACTTGTTAGGTGATAAAAGGATAAAATGAGACAAGTCAAGGTGTTTGAACATTAGGCATTGTGAAGCTATTGAATTTTTCTGATATGATTGGAGTTATGTCAGAATAATCTTGCAGTTTTGTGTAGAGTAGTTTGACCAAAGAGTTTATTGCTTTACCCTTAACCAAACTAAACTTACTGCCATTGAGTCAGATCTGACTCATAGCGACCCCTCCTTGGGTTTCTGACGCAGGATCACTATGGAAGTAGATTGTCCAGTCTTCTTTCCAAGCAGTGGCTGG